CGTCTGCCCAATCCTGAGGAACCCTTTCCGTCCTCCATACTTAAGCCAACATCTCCAACCTAGGCACCAGTTCAGAGCCGCACTTGAGCACCTCCGCTGTTATCTCTGATCGACCACATGCTTTGCCATTTTGAAGAGCTCACATAGCACGGTGTATCTCGCTGCAGGCTGGGGCGTTCTCAAGGTCAAGCCGAATCGGTAGCTGCCCAATGGAAAAAGGCATCTGGGACAAAATCACTGATCATGTTTAAGACACCCTCGAAATGCTCCCGCCATCGCGTACCTGTTGCCTCTGGTGCCTCGCAGACAACACCCTGCGCATTCTTGATAGCAGCTGTCTTGCGGGGCTGCAATCCATCAAGTGCTGTCTGGATCCTCTTGATGCACTTCCAGCCTCCCTTAGATGTTAGACTAAAGTGCTCGCAGTACCGAGCCTGCTTTCTCAGCCAGTCCTGCTTTGCTTGTCGAATGATACGGCGAGCTGAACTTCGGACCTTCTTATACAGCTCCTGATCGCTTGCCCTGTTGGTCGACATCCAGGCTCGGTAGCAATCGTCTCGCTCACGGAGGGCAGCCTCTATCTTCGGTCGATTGTCCAGGAACCAGTCTGGTTGTTTGCGCCGCTCTCTGCCAAGGCATATCTGAGTGACGTCCGTCACCTTAGTTATCAACGCAGCCCAGCATCCGTCCACAGATAGCTCTTCTGGCCAGTTCTAAACCAAGGCAGCATCAAGACTAGGGGAATATTTTGCTCACACTTCATCATTGGAGGGAGTCGTTAGGGCTGCGGAAGCGATGGGTTTGTTAGCTAGTTGACTTTGCCTGCGGAAGCTGGGCACCGCCGCCAAGCGGTATCTCATGGCAAGGAACTTATGGTCAGTATCAACTCCGCAGAGCGGAGAACTTGATAATCCAGACATTGACGCTGACATGACTCTGGAATAATGCAGTAGTCGATACAATGAGGCTGCCCATAGCTAGGGTGGTGCCACGTGTGCTTGTGGATGTCCTTCTTCTTGAACCAGGTGTTGCAGATGAGCGCACTTTTTCTGGCCAGGAAATTTAGTAAATCCTCTCCAGCAGAATTCACGATGCCATATCCATGTGTACCCCTTATGCGGCTCCACTCATCTCCAGCTGTACCAACACCAACAGGAGCATTGAAATCGCCGAGTATGACATACTGGTCACTCCTGGGTACACTATCCAGGAAGGACTTCAAACTTTCATAGAACGCAGTTTTCTCCTCACGCGGTCTACTGTATGTCGGTGCATACGCAACAGCGATATGAATGCACGATACTGAACGATAACTACCACATTCGAACTTTACCTTTGCGAAGACAAGTCGCAAGCTGTGTCCTTTCCATTCCGAGCCGCCGCTGACAAAGGCGTCTCTGCACTTTCCGAGCAGCACTATCGCCACACCTTCACCACGATGTCCAGAGACATCTGCAGTTGGAGTAAGGCGTCCACTGGCCAAAACCAGAGAGTCACCAACACTGTACTGAGCCGTGCCGAACCAAAGGGTCTCCTGCAGACCTGCAATATCCATGCCGAAACGTCCAAGCTGCCGACAAACCAGGTCAATTTTCTTCTCCTCCCGCAACAAATTTTTTGATTTTTTCGAAATTTTGAAGCCATATTCACGTCGCCGTCGGACTCAACAAGGGTTCTCACATTCCAGATTCCCAGAGACAGCACGAACCTCCGAGCGGCTGGTGCATGCTGCGAGCTAAGCTCTGAGCTTTGGTTTGCAACTCCTCCGCGCTCAGCCAGACGAAGGTCAGCGCGAGTGGTCATATCCGAGGTGACCATGTTGTCGACGCTGAATTGTCCTCGTCCGCGGCAGCAAGATGAAGGCTGCCTCGCTCAGCACAGCTACTCTGCTTATTGTGAGACTACAACTCACCCGCTCATGGAAGAAAACTCCGAAAAAAACCGGAGCTCAAAAATCTCCTTCCACTCACCTCCAGCACAAATTCAAAACACACACACACACACACACACACACACACACACACACACACCGTGGTACTGCATGCACATATCGCGGATTTTAAAAGGCACGATTCACTGAGATGAATTGCTGACCCGCACCATTCAAGAATGTAGAATCTCTAACACACGTCAATGGTCGAAGAAACTGACTTTCGACTTTCATTAGTGCTAGAAAGGCTAGAAGTCGAGGTGCTCAAACAGTACAAAACTGCAAACATCTTCTCGTGGTGCTCTGATCATGCATAATGTAATTTCACAAATTTATTTTCGGCGTGCATGTACGAAGTACCTTTGGTTTCGGTACTTTCGATGCCTCTGTTTCAAAACCTATAATTATTGGGGAACTGCTTCTATCTCAAATTTCTGTTCACCTAACCTGGCCTTTTGCCCTCATACCGAACATATTGAGAACCCAAAATTTCTGGAATTAGAGCACAATAGTCAATGTCTGAAACTCGTTTCAATCATGCATGCTCTCTACTCTATGCTCCCCATTTTCTTTCCACAGTCCCATGCGGGCCACCTCCGTCCATTACGAACGGCGCTTGGCGCAACACAACGAGGTTGCACCAAGTCCAAGAGGTGAGAGACTGCTGTGCCTACATGCCTGCATGTATGAACTGGCGCAAATCCAGGGCCTCTTTAATGAGTGCGGGGCAAGAGGCTCAACGGACTTGAGATCGTACTCCCTTGGTATGCATGTCACGCAGCTGTTCCTGGAGCCAAACGCACATAATTATTTGATTTCAATCATTGCTTTTTAGATTTTCTTCTGCACACGAATCCTGTGGACTTGCTGCAGAGGGGGGGGGGGGGGGGGAGAAATTCCTCACTTTTCCCAGGCACACTTATGCTAACACAACATTATTTTCTTTGAGTTTGGGTCGTTCGCTATTGCGCTATCAGATTGTTGTTTTGTGCATGCAGGTGAGATATGCAAGTGTTCCATGGGGAGGGGGGAGGGGGGGGGGGGGTAGAAATTCCACACTTTTTCCCAGGCACACTTATGCTAACACAACATTTTTCTTCTTCTTTTGTGGCTCACACAACCTTCTTTTCTTTGAGCTTGGTGCTATCCGATTTCTTGTTTTGTGCATGCAGGTGATGTATGCATGTGATGACGGCTACAGCATGCAGGGAAAGGGGCATTTGGTGTGCCAGGTGGACAGGCAATGGTCGCCCAACCCACCGACATGCGAAGGTCAGTCATGGCTTAGCACTTGCCAGTACGCCGTGTGAGCACTCTTTTGCCTCACCAGCACAATAGGACTGACAGGGGACAACCGCTGGGGGGGGGGGGGGGGGGGAGCACTGTCCTGTTCAATAGAGCTCACTGTGTCATGTGACAATGCCGTGTTATGCCTTGCGGCCGAATGCACTTCATTCTGATATTCTCATGCATGGCTCTGGTCTGATGCATGACTTTGGTCTGATGCATGGCTCTGGTCTGATGTATGGCTCTGTTCTGTTCTGACCGTGTCTGCAACTGTGTTTCTCCGTCTTGTTTTGGATGTGCAGTGAAGTGCAGTGCACAACTACCGGCGGACTTTCTCCGGCAAAACCAGACATTGACAACCAGAGCTGGCTCATCTAAGTGTGGGCAAACAGCTGCCGACATCATCATTGTGTGCGATGAGTCGGCAAGCATGAGGCCAGAACGCAAGGAGAAACTCAACGCTCTTGTGGCAAGGCTGGACGAATCGTTGAAGGAGCATGGCATTGGTCTCTACCCCGAAATTCCCAACCAGTATAGCCTCGTTGGCTTTGGCCACCAGCGGACAAACCAGCAAGAACCAGCACCACATGTGCTTGTTAACACCGCCAATCAACGAGTATATGACATTGACGGCTTTCGTCAGGCGTCCAGCAATCTTCAAAACGATGGTTCCCACGAAGACGGGTACTACGCAATCCAGTTCACTTTGAACAACATCACTGATCCGCAGTCCAAGGAACAGCTGCTGCGACTGGGGAAGGCACACATTGCACCCATCATCATCTTCATCTCCGATGAGGACCGAGACGTTCATAAACAAGGGGGCGGGGAGCTCTCACGCAGCTCCGTCAAGAGAATGATCCGCACGAGCGGAGCCCAGCTGCAGGTCATCGTCGACAACACCTTCGAGCACCAGGGTCGGGACGGTTTCGGTGTCGACGCGACCGGCAAGCTCTACACGGCACAGAGCTCTGGCGCATACACCACATCCTATCCAGACTCAGTCAAGAAATACCTGAAGACCCACTATCGCAAAACCCTCCTCCATTACACCTCGGTTGCGCTGGAGCTCGGTGGTGCGGCCTGGAATCTGAACGCCATCTTGCGCTCTGACCAGCCAAATCCATCGTATGTGGAGGCCTTCGTCAGCAGCACCGTCACAATGGTGGAGCAGAAAGTTCACAAGTGCTGCACGTGCCGTTGTGTCCAAGCTGATCCTGACCGTGTTCTGCGATGTGACGTGGCAGCCGCTGACGATGAGTGCAAGAAGACAGCAAACAACGTGTTCCTGAAGTGAAATGCATAAGCCATACTACCGTGCTGGCAACTGAAATCCGACCCCTGAGCGGTGCGTTCACAATCTAGCGGTCTCTAATTCGTAGTTTAACAATCCCGTGTTGGGTCTTTGCGATGTGAGCGCACCGCTCAGGGGTCGGATTTCAGTTGCCATCACTGTACATTTGCCCGTGCTTCTCTCTCAACCATTTCCCGACTACTTCGAATTTTTTGTTTTTTTGTTTACTATGTTCACATACCCAACTCAATTCATTGCATTCCCAACTCATCACAACCACGCGCTCTTCAGCCGAACCATACAGACACCAGCAAGGACACTTCCGTTGAGAGATAATAATTATTGCTCCACGCCTCTAGACAGCTGTTTCGCTCCCTGTCGGAGCTCATCAGTAGAGGATGATAATGATGATAATGGAGGAATGATCATTCTTATAATGATGATAATGGAGGAATGATCATTCTTATACACAAGAAATGGCGCAAGTGCGCGCTTTCCACATATATCAATGGCATATGCAAGCTGCTAAAATGGTAAAGTGTGAGAACAGCGATAAATTAATAATCATAGTACGCGCTCATTGGTGGAGAAACACACCACACAGGCGACGAAAATCTTACGCGGAATACTGATGCCAAAGGAAAGTACATGTATGTTGTTTATTATTATGATGTTGCAGTGAAGAAGGAAGGAGATCCTTCTTCCAGTGAAGAAGGAAGGAGAAAAGCAAGACACATCTGCAACATCTTTGTTTGATCAAAATGAGCTGAGCTGCTGATACGAAGCGTCGACCAAGCATCCCTGACTGGAGTGAATGCCCCAGCTGGCCTCTCGTTTGTCAGTGGTTGCCGATGGACGTGTTAGTATCACACTCACGACTACAAGTTTCCTGGTGTGCATCGACATCGGCATCAGTGGGGCCTCCCGCTGTCGATCCTGTTGACGGGCGGACAGGTCGGTGTGAATCCTGAACGGCAACCGAGCCTGTCGCGTTGGGGGATCTCGGCAGTGAGTCTCGCCTGGCCTGCATACATGGACATTGCAACATCATAATAATAAACAACATACATGTACTTTCCTTTGGCATCAGTATTCCGCGTAAGATTTTCGTCGCCTGTGTGGTGTGTTTCTCCACCAATGAGCGTGTACTATGATTATTTATCGCTGTTCTCACACTTTACCATTTTAGCAGCTTGCATATGCCATTGATATATGTGGAAAGCGCGCACTTGCGCCATTTCTTGTGTATAAGAATGATCATTCCTCCATTATCATCATTATCATCCTCTACTGATGAGCTCCGACAGGGAGCGAAACAGCTGTCTAGAGGCGTGGAGCAATAATTATTATCTCTCAACGGAAGTGTCCTTGCTGGTGTCTGTATGGTTCGGCTGAAGAGCGCGTGGTTGTGATGAGTTGGGAATGCAATGAATTGAAAATATGGCCGAAAGCTCTGTCGCAATATTTAGTACATACCCAACTCGTAAATAATAATGAAAGACAGTGGTACTGAGACAGGACAAACGTGTGCGCTAGATGTGTTCAGAATAATGTGAATAATGTGTTCAGAGTAATGTGAATAATGTGTTCAGAATAATGTGAACAATGTGCTCAGAATAATGTGAATAATGTCTTCAGAATGTATGATGCACTTTCTGAAATGCATTATGGTATTGTCATGGCATGATTCGCTTCTTAGCATTGCATTACACTGTGCTGCAGTTTCTGGTGTGTGCGACACGTGCTAATTTCAAGTAGTAATTTGTTCTTTTCCCCCAGAGGTAGGTCTAGATTCTCATCAAGTGACATAGTACTTTACATACAGGTTTGGTCACTGCAGAAGGGATGCTGTAGGAATGCAACTGAGGCTGATCCTTAGTGCACCAAAGCCACCAACCGTCCCGCAAAACTTCAAAAGTATTTTTTAGAAGCGGAGTAAGAAGAGGCCCCTGCTTTGCCTGCTGGATGCTATCCCGGTGGGTGCCATTCTCCTCCCTTCGGCCGAATGCTGATGGAGCGGAGTAGAAGAAAAAGAAAGAAGATTACATTTTTTCTACAAAATCCACATTACCTCCACGGACACTGGGGTGAATAACGGAGTGTGGTGGCGGGGCCCATTAAGCATTAAAGCTCAGCCGACCAGCGGTCTCGGCTTCATTGCTCCGTGAACGCACCAAAGGGGGATCAGGTAGGGGCGGGTGAGGCGTGTGGTCCTGGGCTGGTGTGTCGGGGGTGGAGCCATTCTCGAGAGAAGAGTGGGAGAATTATCGCAAAGGGCTTTATACAGGAGGCAGAGCGCAGAGATGGTGTGGCGAATTGTGAGGCTAGGTAGCCAGCATAGCGGATGTATTGCTATGATGGCTTGCTCCTGGACCCACATGTATTGCGTTCAAGAATGCAATTTCGGTAAAGGATATGCCATTAAGTGGCTAGCTAACTAAAACTGTTTTTTTGGACTTGACTGTGAATATTTCGCCGCTTTGTGCGTCGAATAATTAGCGGTTTGGTTTAGATAGCGCGTATTGTAGTGATTGCGGTTTGATTTACTTCGAAGTATAAAGACCTTTATTATAGGCGGTGTCGCATTACCGTTCGAATGCTTAGGGGTGTGCTGCTAATGGGACAGGGATGTAAGGATCGGGCAGATTGCAGTGCTTTAATGGGCGCGGGTGTTGTATAAAGTTACTTAAATAGAATGCTAAGATCATTAATAGAGGACTATGAGGAAAAGCAAAATGACAGGGGTGACAGTGTTGAAAGTCTGAGCCGACGGCGTACGCAGGAGTGCCTACACACTCACAGGCGTTTGGAGACTCGCCGACTTCGTGACAAGATGCGTTGATAGCAAGAGACTGCTTAGAGAGCATGTCTGAGAAAATAAGAAAAGCTGGGCGGGGCGACCTCTCCGATTTCGCTTAAAAAGTTTGCCAGTAGTAGAATAGTAGTAGCAGAATTTATTATTTTGAAAGAGAAGGCCCTACAGACGTTGCCGTCTTGTTACAGGGAACCCTAAGTGCTCTTTCCAGAGCGAAACAAAAACGGATAGATGCTCAACCTGACGACGCGAGACAGGCAGAGAATTCCACCTATCACCGCCAAGGAAAGAAATAGAGAACATCCCATATCTAGTGGTAGCAGCGGGCAAAGAAAGTGAAGAGAATGATTGCCCTCTAGTGCGCCTCTCGGTGCAAGTAGCAGCCGACTGGAGGGTGGACATTGAGGAAAGAAGAGGACTTGTGAGCTTATGAATACAGCAGAAAACAAAAATGAAAAGCCTCAAGTTGAGACGAGATTCGAGGGAGTATAACTTAGCGTGCCGCAAAACAAAGACAGTCGGGGTACGGCGAGGGAGACAAAAAAACCTTTTTCATGCTGATATGACTTAAAGTAACAATGCGAGAGTATAAAGATGGTGTCAGGCCGTGAGCATACGAGAAGTAAGTTTCCTTTGGAGTCTACAACAACCATGCAAATGGGCTCGTTGCACAACTTACGGACACCTTGGAACTGAAGAGCACCTCGAAATGGGCCCAAAAGAGACTGAATTTTGGGTCCAAAAACGAGCGCTGGTGCAGCGTCCACAATGGAGCTAAGAACAAACGACTACCATGCCTACATCCAGGAGAGCAATGGCCATCGTCTCCGAATATCACTGACATTGCACCGCTAAAATTTCAAGGGCTATAGCGGGAACCATTTACGGCGTCTGTTTTCCTGAACCATGCACTGCAGGACTGTGGACTATCTCCACTGCCAACCAGCACATGTCTCGTAAAAAGTGTTCCACATTTTCTGAAACTTCAGTGCTGGCAACTGAAATCCGACCCCCTGAGCGGTGCGCTCACATCGCAAAGACCCAACACGGGATGTAAAAGGTTTTTTCATTTGACCCGACGAGACCACACGATGCTTGCAGATCACAGCACGAACAGTTCACCAGCCACACTCAAGTAGTACTACTCCTTACAAGTCTTGTTTCGTTCCATAGAGATATACCGGGGAACTGATCAGAGGAGAAGCAGTTGTTGAATGAAGGGGTTTAGCTGAATAATGCTATTTTATAGAGAAGATACCGGCGCAAGGTGTAAACACTCAACTAACTCATACAAGTATATGTGACATATCAACACAAAAGGAATGGTGCAGAATGGAGGTGTTCTGAACCCTACCAGACACAACTATCATGAGTGCTAAATAATCAAAATGAGAAGGAGAGGTACACAGAAATAGGTTGCGCTAGTTGACACGTCACAAAGAGTACTGAAGTGGTGACAAAGATAGGTGAAAAGTAGACGCCAAGTGAAAGCCAAAAAATCATCACGGACGTCTAACGTCACAGCTGAAGATTGCTAACTGCACAAGACAAATACTTCACAAACCTCGATAATTGAAATTCAGCCAACGTTAGGTGAAAGGAAGGCTGCTGGGTGTGACATAGAACTGTGGACTGCTGAGGCGACGTATCCATCTAGATCTTGACTGCAGGGTTGGCGTCTAACGCTATATTCCAAGCAGCAGATGAAATCCTTTCTCTGGTCAATGGCAGGTTTCCTGGTCCAGGAGAAGTCATATTTCTTTGTTGCCATCTTCAATAGGTCCGTCAAATAGTAGTAATAGGTTTTTTTCACATCAATGCGAATACCGGTAGTACGGTATTGATATGATGGAGAGGCCATCATTTAGGGCATTTCATTGCATGATTTGTGACAAAAAAAAGAAATTATTTGAAACTCGGACGGTGAGCCATAAATAAATGTAGAAGAGACAAGGACATATGGATACGAGTTAAGAGTAACTCTCCATCACTGTAACATGACGGAGATGTGTTGAAGCTAGGTGTCAGGACGTCGAATGTCTCAGACTCAGTACTCTGTCAGTTTTGTGCCTAGTTATTGCACTTTCTGGCTGTATATAGTATCATGTTACAGTGATGGAGAGTTACTCTTAACTCGTATCCATATGTCCTTTTCTCTTCTACATTTAAAAGAAATTATAGCAATAAAAACTGCTTTATGGCAGTTTTCTAAAAACAGTTATTGTGTTCTAGTCCATGGACCCCGTCTAAAAAGTAAAAAATTAACGAAATGTGATAGCCGAAAATTAAAATTTCACGCAAAACCTCACAATAATCACAACACTTCGTGCTTTGTATAATAGAGAGGTTAAGTTTCACAACAATTGTCTTGAAATGCTGCTTTCAACACTTAACATGCATGCATGGGAAAGAGGGGAAAAGGTCTTCCAGCTTTTCATTCGTTGTAGTTGTAGTTGTAGAAGTTTATTTAACGTCGCACCACAAACAGGCGATTTCGCCTCCTTTGATACATGTGGACGACAGAAGGAATGAGAGAGAGGGGGGGGGGACAGAAGTATGGAGAGAGGAGGGTAGAAATAAATAAGCAATCAACCTCAGGGCTACACCAAAGCAAAAACGGAATGGGAACATACTATATACAAAATAGCTTCATACATATATTGCAAAACACGTTTACTATTCTTCAGTCCGCTATACCACAGAAACACACTAGCCGAAAAGCATTTAAACGGAGCCATGATGCGCTTTTAGCAGGGCACAGAACTGAAGGTGGCTGGGCTCGGAACGGAGATCAGGCGGGAGCATTCTGTGATTATTGTGAGGTTTTGTGTGAAATTTTAATTTTCGGCTATCACATTTCGTTAATTTCTTACTTTTAGACGGGGTCCATGGACTAGAAAACAATACCTGTTTTTAGAAAACTGCCATAAAGCAGGTTTTATTGCCATAAAGCAGGTTTTATTGCTCTATTTCAAAAGTACAGTCATTGTGGTACAATTCAGCCGTGAGTGGTGGAAACGCTGAGCAACTACTCACACCACCTGTACACGCACAACTGAGTATCCTCATACCACCTGTACACGCACAACTGAGTAATAAAACCCTAAGGGGTCGTCCGTAATTTTCGAAAAATTAAAAAATCCGTCCTCGTGCAAAATTGTCTCTGACCCACCCACCCACCCCCCAATTTTTCCCATTAATTTTTGATTTTTACCGATGCCCAGCTCGAAAATAAGAACTCCTGACCCCACGTTTTCTGACTGCACCTGTGTCAAGTACTAGCAGCTAAGTACAGTGAGTAGTAGGTCTACCGACGTCACGGCCATGCACACTACATGAAAAGTCATGTATCATAGTAGATACTGGTGTTTGCGACAATTATTATTATTATTATTATTATTATTTTTTCTTATTTTGTTAGGGATTTCCCAACAGGCAATGTTGCCTTTTTACTGGGAACCCTAAATGAGACTTTGTGTGAGCGCGAAACAAAGCAGGCGACTCGGCCAGGCGACAAGATGGAGGCAGCGCATTCCACCTGTCGGCACCAAGATACGCAATGGAATGGAAACCATACCGGGAGTGGCAGGCAGGCAAGACAAGAGCAGCTGTAGCTTGGCCCCGAGTTGTGGCAGCAGAATGTGGGCCAGTGCAGCGGGGAGTGAATAGGAGGCTGAGAAGTGGGCTAGATAAACCATGCAGACAGCGAAAGACAAAGACGTATTGCTTGAAATTTAAGCGTTGCTCTAGTGTGTAGATCTTCGTGTAAGCGTACAGGGTCTCAGTGGGAGTTCTGCGGTCAAGGGCAAATATTCTTTTAAGACTAGTACGGCTGGCTGTGATCAGCTGGTTGTATGAACGGTGAGATAGACAGTTAATGTAGGCAGAGCTAGCATACTCAAGGGTGGATTGAATAATAGATAGATAGACAATCGATCCTACACTACATGTACGTCTACAGTACAGTACACAGTCAGCTATATACTGAATCAGTGCAACAAGTGTATCAAAGTCACTGGAGCGAAAAAAAAAAGTACGAAAAATCAAAAAATTAAATTCCGCCAGCACACTTGACCACCCACCCTTTTGCCTGAGGACGGATATTTAATTTTTCGAAAAATACGGACGACCCCTAAACAAATTTACCACAAAGCAATAGGTGCCTCAGAAACTGCCAATGTGGCGGGGGCTCGTGTTGATAAAGTCCTTGTTGATACACAAGAGGTACACAAAAGGAAGTAAACAGGGCTGTTTCGCTGTTACCATTAGCCCTTTCCCGAAGGTGCTCTTTTAATTCGCACTTAGTGCTTTTCGTGTCCCTCAAAATATGTTGAAAAAGTGCTCTTTTTTCAGTGAAAACAGGCAAAAAATGCTCTTTTTTTAGTGAAGCATAGCCATGGTACATGTTCAGATATGAACCCATGCTGAGAAATGAATACGCCCTCTTCCATTTGTGGGTCCACGAAAGGCAAAACAGGAATTAAAGTTCAAAAAACCCACTTTTTACAGCATTGAATGCCGCCATTGTGTAGGGTACAAGCTTCACCAACGTGTTGTCTCTCAGAAAAGCGGCGTGCCAAGGCCGATCGAGCACTCGGAAACTGTGATCGCATGCATGGGCAAACAGATTTTAGCACTTTTTCAGCTAAAAAAGCTCAAAAAGGGCGATATTCACCAAAAAACGCAATAAAGGGCGAAAGAAAAGGGCTTTTCCAAAAAGGGCCAAAGGGGCGAAGAAAGGGCGAGCACATTTGGGAACGGGCTCGTTACCATGGTTACTCAGAGTTTCATGGCAAACCCAACCATCACGCAACATAAGGAGATTAGAAAAAGCGCAGGTATATGAAGGCAAGCAGAGGAGATGTAATAATCCAGTGCAGACAATTACCGTATTATCTCTAATATAAGCACAGTCTCCAATAATAGCACGTCTCCAATAATAGAACACCTTGGGGCGGCATTCAAAAAATAAAGTGCTCAGTCTCCATTATAAGCACACTGTGTAAATTCATTATCTGTACCGGCGAAAAAACCCTGAAATGTGTTTGTCATACATGACTTTGGCATGGCAACATGCCTCTGAAATGAGGTTGAAATAATAATGGAACAGTCTCCAATAAAGGAACGTCTCCATTAATAGCACGGGGCGGAGGTACATTGAAAAAATAAAGGACCGTGCTTATATTAGAGATAATACGGTATGATAGTCAACACCTTCCAGAGAGCAGTACGCTTTGACGTGCCAGAATCAACACCTCAAGGTCAATATTATTGTTGATACATGTAGGTTGGGGAACTTGGGGTGAACCCGCTTTCTTCTAACTGAAAACATTTCCCTCCGACAGAGTGTCTTTTGTCGTCTGAAAAACCCCTGTGTGCCACCGAGGCACTGTCGAACACCCAGATGATTCCCGGAGTCTACTTCAGAAGCACAATACGTACGCCATACCCAAACTGCAAAGACCCCGTCTTCTACACGATTCGAAGGCAGGAATTTTGATAATCTGGCGGGATCACCTGTTCGTTCTCATGGTTGTGCATCTCTGGACATGTACCAGTACTATAATACATGTGTACATTATTTTGTATATGCATGAATGATGCACTTGGAGACTATTATGGGCACATGCACTGACTAAACTGATGCACACATGAAGCGAACTAGAGTGCTGGCAGCTGAAATCCGACCCCCCTAGCGCCTCGTAGATCTACGAATCGCTAACGCGGCAAGCGCACCGCGAGGGGAGTCGGATTTCAGTTGCCTGCACTGTAGGAAGAATGATCTGCACAAGGATTATGTACACTATGTACATAATCATTGTAGTCTGCCATGATCATTATTTTTGTACATCCGTTTTGCGACTGCAAAATAAGTACCTAGGTAAGTCGCACGTCACTTGTTCTGGAGTCCAAAAAATACTCCTCCGTGGTTCTCTTTCCGGTCAGCGCTGGTTTATAAAGAGTTGGTCCGTGTCAAGCGGAAACCTTCCGAACAGATGGCCACAATGCTCACCGTTTCTCACCAGCAAGGCAGCTTTAGCTTTGGCCTTTTTACATCGTGTATGCGCTGGTACATGTTGTTCCACGCAAAACACGCCGTGGAGATTAGCGAGGAGAGATCCGCGCCACTTCGTACATTCTGTTTGAACACGCAAGCCAATGTGTCGAGGAAAGCAAGAAGTGCTAGACTCCGTGTGGCTTTTGACCGATGGTCACTGGTAGACTCTACATGGTAGACTACATGGTGGATCAATCAGCGATCCGTTCGCACCGTTTCATGCACATAATCATCGAACGAAGCGTGCAGTCTGCGGTAGTGGGTCCATCTCGCAGTCCCTAGTCGGTCCGGCACGAAAACTACATGGATGGTGTGTGTTGAAGCTCAGACGGTGGCCAAGCTTATTTGTGCAGTGCCTCAGAGGCAGTATGTGCACGAGGCACGCAGCTATTTCGAAGATTCAATTAGAATTTAGATTCGCTGAGAGCTCCTAGAACATTCGAATTTCTAAGTGTCGTCGTGGCTTGAGACGTGCTATCCGTCACACTGCCAGTTCGACTATTTTCGTCTTGCGTCGAACGACGGAGCCAGCGGCCGGCAAGTGTGCGGGAAGTACCCCTAGCTTTGATTTGGCTAGGTGGTCAGTGGAGAGTGGGACTCCTCTTGCCTTCGGGACAGGGCGGTGACGGGCCATGAACGGGCGGAATGATTATGAAGCTTCTAGGACCCCACATGGCGGAGTCCGTGCATCGCAGTCGATGCGGCGGAAAACACAAAACTGCCGAAGATACGTAGCGCTGTGGAACGTCACAGGTGGGTCGTAGCAGAGCATCACCACACACTAGCACATAGAGATTATGTGTGTGCATGACATTATAGTAACGGCAAGATAATGCTGCCCTAAGTTGCCGTCCGTAATTACATGCATTTACTTAGGTTGCATTTGTTCGGTCATTCCCGAATGGGCATGGAATGACGTCGGTACCCATCGCGGAATCGGAATGAGCGCAGGAAACAAACGCGCTGGCATGGATTCGAGAATCTGGCAAAACTTTTGCGCCACTCTGGAAACATTCTGTTGTTTGCTGCTTTGGGAAGACTACTGCGTGTTATGTCAGTCCTGGTAGTTGCTATATAAATGCTTCCGTACGTTTCTGCATCTCCCTACGACAGTCATGATGAAGGAGCGGCCAAACATGGCGTAGATCAACGAGCGCCCGTAGGTAGGGTGCCTGTAGACGGCGTTTGGCCGTTACTTCATCATAGCTATTCGACCCCGTATCGGTCACAGAAACGTCTCTAGTGTGTTTATTTGACAGAGACGAGGCCCTGTTGTAAGAAGAAGTGAAGCGGCAGGTTCGGTGTCTCTTTGGGTCACTTTGGGCCATTATGGATAGTCGGGCTCGAAAAATAGTTCTGGCTAGCCTCCCTGTGATTCTGGAGGCCCTGCTCGACGACGATCAAGAGCTGAGGTGCGAGGGCATATTTCCAGTTCATCAACGATCACTTTCTCAGGTAGCGAAGGGTCAAAATACCATGAACAAGTTACTATGCCGTCGCCGAGGGTACAGTACCAGCCTTAACCCTGGACGATGTCCGCCGTCATTGCTGTAGATCGATAATCGCGTTCGAAGTTTTGTTGGGGAGGTATGGAGCAGCGACGAAGCCCCTCCGCGCATTTTCATTCCGCTCGGAATGAGACCTCATTCCACTTTTTCTTAGGAATCGCCAGAATCGATTCTGCCCCCTTCATTCCGGAATCGGAATTGCACCGAACAAACGCTGTCCAGTGCATCAAGCAAACGCTCCGGAACCAAAACACGGCGGAATGGTGGCGGAATGGCACCGAACAAACGCAACCTTAGAGACGTCTAACAGGCGTTTCTGGTGGGGGGGGGGGGGGGTTCGCCTGCAAGACGTATGAAACGAAATGTATATTGCAGAAACTTTCCAAAAATTACATTTCGGAGTGCATGCATACCATACTTTCATATTTATGTATCTATGTCATTCGGATCTTTCCAAGTTGTACATTGTACTGTTGAGATACAGAATTCAAATAAATCAATATCAAACCATACCGTACCATACCATACCGCGCGTGTATGTATTGTAGATGATGTAGTCCACTGCTACAGCTAGTAGAACTACTGTCAACTTCGCTTATAATGACACTCGGCGAGGCATCAGAAAAGTGTCCTAATTCGCGAAGTTTCCTTATACCCAAAGTCTCATTATAATTATGTATACAGGTAGAAGGGACTTTGCTCTGGGCATGGAAATTCTGTCGTTATTCGCGAATTGTCGTTATATCAGCAGTCGTTATTAGCCAAGTTCACTGTACTGCAAGGGTCACTGCAGAGTGGCCATAGAGACAGGGAGACTGTTCGCTAGCTACATGTATAAAGGGTCAATTATGTATGGGTGTGCATAGGGACATGGACAGAGGTTCGCTATATCATGAAATTCGCTATTTGCGAGTTCGTTATAAGTGGAGTCGTCTGTACTGTACTATGTGTGCAGAGTATAGTGGTTATTACACAAGAGAGAGATTGGAAGCTTTGTTACAACTCTGAGTTTCACGTATTACTACACTCATCAGGCAGCGTACAGTGGTTATTATGAGGGGTATTTTCTGCATTTTTGGGGGGCGTTTCTGGGGATGGGTGGGCAGGTCAAGAAAGAAACACCTCTTAGATGTCTCTAAGCAAATGCACATGTTTACGGACGGCCCGTAAGTCGGCTGGTCACATACATGTACAAAACATGCACAGTCAACTTTGCTCTTAACGACACTCGGCGGGGCATCCAAAAGGTGTCCTTATTCGCGAAGTGGCGTTGTATACAATGGTGTGGGTGCTATCCAATCAGAAAGGGAAGGGACTCCCCGTGATGACCGTCAATGTTCCTTCAGACTTTTTCTTTTCAACTTGTGAACAAAAGATTTAGTCTGGAAATTTTCGCGGGAAACCCATTGGTTCGCACGTCGCATCTAATACTATTTCATTTGACTTGTGTAGCTCGACAATCCTTCCAGGGAAGCGTTAGTTGATCACTCTGCCTTAGTCCAGAGTAGTTTTGCCGTCGCCCTAGCACTAGATCAATGCAATGTCAGTACTGCTGCTTCTACTGGCACACTGAGTCATATCACCCACACAAAACCAGCACAGAGCTAGCTTGGGAATTTGGTGAAGAGGATGATAGCTCATGAGTCGTAACGTTTGATGGCTCGCTCTCCTGCTCTTCACTTTCTGTCCAAAATCCGAATACAGTTAAAACTCAGTGTAACGTTAATGTATTGTAGAGAGCCTAAAAGTTGATACTAGCATATGTAGCAGCAGCAGTACAGTGTACTATTAGTTAGAGGACTAGTCATGTCACAGTGGAAAGGACACCAAAAGGTCCTCTGACATTACTTTATATTCAATGCAAAGAGAAAAGTAGTGTTGAACCGTCTGTGCTGGGATGAACGACAACTAATTTTGAGACGAAAGGCCTTCGTTGCGTTTGTTTTGAGTGCGACATGTTCATCTTCCTCGGATGCGACACAAAGTTTTGAGTCACGTGTCACGTTTTCTATGGGAACAGCATAGATGTATGCTGGGTTCCGTGATGTCCTATCTAGGACATCTTCAGGACTGGTGAATGGGGCCGCCGGATGATTAACCAGCCCGAAGCTGGCGGAAAACCCCAGGACCCCGGCGGAGGCACATCCCTGAAGAAAACCGGTTAGAATATCCCCATCAGATAAATGAAAAAAACCGTAGCCTGCAGGACCTATCGAGAAGTGAGAATAAAGGGGAGGGTGGGTGGGAAACTACAACGAAAAGAGAAAGACCACGATGAAGAGAAAGGTTTGAGAACACTGACAAAAAAACAACTAACGCAATCCTGGCGCCGTAACTATGGTGAAAAAGCTGGCACAAAATACATTTTTCGTTTCATTCGCTACGCTCAGCCAACGAAAAATAACACTTTAAGTTACTGATCAATTTGAGGGGAAGTTGCCAACGGGAAAAGACTAATTTAAAAAAATGGACTGTCATCACAAAGGCCCTGAGACTCTGGCTTATGGCCAGCGATTTTCTAAGAATGGAGCTATAGTGCAGTCGTCGTCATTCAAGCAGCGTTTTTCAACATTTTCTTCGGACTTTTAATAGTTATAATTAAATATGT